CCTGCAAGGGGCTCTCCCCGGCCGCGCTCCGCTCCCCCCTCTCCCCACTGCCCTGGGAGCTGCCAGTGGCATCCCCAGCATCCCCCTTTCCTGCAGCGGTTTGCAGACCAGGAAATGTGTTTTAATTGAAAAAAACAACCAAGCAACAAGCCAAACGCTGACATTCCTGTGCCCAGCAAATTTATTTCTGCAGGGGAGTCAGAGGGACAACCGTTGCCCTTGATGCAGGAGCGCAGCAGCTCCAGGGGAGCCTGTGCCAGAGCGGGTGAGCACGGCAGCACCAGCAGCCCCACTGCATCTGGGTCCCTCCTCCAACTCATCCCCAGCAGCTCACACTGATGCTTTCTGTGTTTATTTTTGAAGCATCTCTGGACACTGGAAGCCCCAGTTCAAGCCCAGTCCAGCCCAGCGCTGCCCTTCCTCGCAGGATGAGGCTCATCCAGCTCTCTGGCTTGAAGCTGTCCCCTCTCAGTGCTGACTGACCATCAGCCACGCTCACGCCGCAGGACCCACCAGCCAAAATTCAGCGTGTGGCAGCCTCCGGACCGAGGGGACAGGTGTCGGCAGGTCCCGCTTGCTGCTTCAAGAGGTCCCAGCTTGTGACAGCTGTGAACCTGCCTGCTCCGCTGGGGCCTGAGCTGGTTTCAGACCTGGTGGCCTCGGTCCTCTGCAGGATCAGCATCCCTGGAAGGGACTGCCCTGGTGCCACCATCGCCCCAGCCCCGGCGGGGAGCATCGCTCCTGCTCTGGGGCAGCTGAGGAGGTCCCAGCCCAGCTTGGGGGTGCAGGGGACACCAGTCACGGCAGCAAGCACAGCGTACAGCAGGAGACAGTCCCCTGCTGCGGGGTGGGTTGAATGCGGGGACAGAGGCCAGAGGGGTACGTGGGGCTCCCAATCCTTGCAGACAGTCAAACAGCAGGACACCGCGCTAAAGCCCAAAGCCAGCTCTGCTCTGACCAGGGTTGAGACTCAAAGCCTCCCAAGACCCTTCCCAGGGGCTCTTTGAGCATCGCAGGGCTGGGAGCTGGGGGAGCTGGGCTGGGTGCTGGGACAGCCCGTCGCACCCCACCGGGCACCAGCCTGCGGCTGGGAAGGAGGGAGGCAGAGCCCTGGGCTGGGGCAGACGAGGGACAGGGACAGCAGTGCCACAGGGCTCCGGCTGGCCACAGCAAACTGGGAGCCCAGGGTTGGCTGCGGGCGGGCAGAGGGGCTATGCACACCGGGCACTGCCTTCCCCCGGCTCCACGGCACAAACGAGGAACCCCCCTCTACCCCCTGCGACATCCCCAGGGGCTGGGGGCAAAAGTTTCCCACAGCTTTTGGGGCAGGCAGGGCGTGGGGAAGCTGGGCTCCGAGCTGGGGCCACCAGCCCAGCGAGGGGCTCTCCGGTGGCACAGCACGGAAATGCTCTCCGCTTCCTTTCCTTGTTTTTTTTTTTTTTTTTTTTTCCAGCCCGGGGTAAATTAATGCAACACACCCACGGCCCCGTCCGCAGCCCCGCACTATCTGGCTGCCCCAGAGTGCTGCGCAAGACCAGCGCCACCCGGGCCGGTCCCTGGCAAGGTCGCAGTGCAGGCAGCACACAGCCCTGCATCCCAGGCAGAGTTGACACCCCCCACACCCCAGGAAAGGCGCCAGCGCTCACAGCAGAAAAGCCCTGCATGGTTTTGGGGTGGGAAGCAGGGAGTCGCAGGGCACCCGCTCCCAACCCTGTGGGTGCCTGTGGCCAAGCCTGGCAGGACATCCCTCCATCCCTGCTCGGACCGGGCTGCAGGGGAGAAGGGTGACAGCAGCAGCTCTGCCTCGGGGGACACGGCCTGGCTGCAGTGCCAAAGGGGGAGGAGGCATCTCTGGAGCCAGGGACGTGTTTCCTGGGAGCAGCAGCAGCAGCTCCAGCTCCTTCACTGGGGCTGGGGCGTGTTTCTCCGGCTGGCATGAGCGCAGCACACGTGGGAAGAGAGGCCTGGAGCGCTCCCTGCCCGCTCCTGTTTCACCATACGGCTCCGGTACACCCCTCCGCTGGTGCCGGACGCACCGAGCACCCTGCGTCACCCTCCGAGGGCTGGGTTGGGCAGGGAGGCCGGGCTCCGCAGCAGGAAGAGGGCAGGGTGGCTGCGCCAGGGGCAGAGCAGTTCCCAGCGTCTGCAGAGCAGCAGCACCACCTCGCAGAGCCGCTTTCCAGCTCATCGGGTTTGTCAGAGCCGGGCAGAAGTGACTTTGGAGCTGCAGGTGGACCTGAGGAGCGGCGCCCTGTGGCTAGGCTCAGCGCGGCAGGGCTGCGAGAAAGCACCCTTAGCCAAGATTAAAAGAGAAAATAAAATATGTGTTATATTACATATCAAAAACGGGGGCATGAAAGACAAAATCAAACGCAGGGCAGGTGAAACCCGGCACTGAGGGAGCGCTGGCGGCTGCTCCCCCCCCTCCCCGCACCTCCAGCCCCAAGCCGTACCTCCCCGGCCTGACCCGCAGCGAGCTGTTCACGTCACACCAGGCAAAACCACCCTGCCCCGCGCGGGGCCCCAAGGACAGGCAGGAGGGCACAGCTGTCCCGTCCTGGGCGCTGCCTGGGCAGCCACCAGACCGCACACGCAAGGCAGCCCCGGAGTTTGTTTTATTGAGGGGGAAGCAGCAGAAGGTACTGTCTCTCCCAGTTCCTCCACCTGCTCCAGTCCAGGCACCAGAGACACACGGGTACGGAGCTATCGTGCTCTCTTGCACGGGCGATGAAAGGGCTGCTCTTGCTGTTTGGGCTCAATTTCTAGCGCTGGCTTGGCTCCACTGCCAGGCGTGGTAGCCACGTCGGGGATATCCTCAGCAGAGATGGGCTGGATGATGTGGCCTGCTCGGGTGATGACACGGGGGGCAGTCAGCTTCTGGAAGGCACGCTGCGTGTTCCAGGTGGAGCCCACGGGGGTCCGGATGCTCTGCTCAAACTGCTGGTGCCTCTCAAAGGGGTAGGGCAGCTCGCTGACCTGCGGAGAAACAGCGCAGCAGTGTAACGCCCACAGCGACCCGGCCCAGCCCCACGAGGCTGCTCTCACCCCACACTGGCACTGATTCCCACTCGTCCAGGACTCGCTCACACTGTGCTTCCTGTCCCCTGCCCCGCTCACCACCTCCCTCCATCCCCTCTGCCAGCAGATCCCAGGAGGACTGGCACAGCACCGGCAGCCTGTAAATTCCTCCTCCCTCCATCACCCTGCTGGCCACTGCGTTGTCGAAGCTGGAAACTCCGTGGCCAGGCAGGGAGTACCGACAGGGATTCAGGACGTTTTGGGAACGGGTCACAGGAAGGTTCTGGGCCAGCCTGGGTGCTGGAGCGCTTGCTGCTGCCACCCGTGGAGGCCAGACGTCACCCACCTGATGTGCCGCCGCGTGGATGTTGCGCTGCTCACTCATGATGACGTTGGGCAAGTGCTGGTCCTTCCTGGGAGGCGCTGGGGGCGGCTTGAGCAGGAACCTGCCGGGCAAGCAAAGACGTCAGGCATCGGTGCTGGGCCGAGGCACATCGCTGCAGCTCTTTCACGCTTACCGTTTTATTTTCTTGGTGCTGGGCTTCAGTCCCGTGCCTCCCCACTCGCCCCAGCCCGGCAGCACCAGGTTCACCGGCTGTGGCTTCCCAGCCTGCTCTGCCTTGCGCTTCTCCCGGCGGAAGTCAGCGACCACGTCGTCCCCGGCAAAGGCCTCTGTGATCACACCTCTTTGATCGATGCCACCCTCCTGTGGAGAGCCGAGTCAGTCCCCTGCAGTCCACCCCACCCTGGGACCAAGGGGCAGGCCCGTCCCGCTCACCTCCTCCTCCACGACCACAGGTAGGCTGGGGAACTGGACCTCTTGCGACTTCCCAGCCAGCACAGCCTGCAGGCTAATGATCTTCTTCTTAGCTGGTGGTTTCTTGTCACGCTTGTCCCCAGCTCTGCCTTCCTCCTGCTGCAGCACTCGTTTCTCTGCTCTGGCGGCTGCTGGCTTCTCCTGTGCTTCCACACGCTCCTCTGAGGCCAAAGCCTCAACGTCCTCCATCGTCCGCACTCGGCCCAGCTGCTCCGACAGCAGCATCTCCTCCTGGGCCAGGGGAGGCTGCTCCATCCCCAGGCTCGCCTGCTCCTCGGCACAGACGGGGTGGATGGGGCTGTCCCCCGGCAGTTCAGCAGCCACCTCCGTCTCATTGTCACCTACGGATTGAGGCAACAGGTGAGACAATCACCCAGGAGCAGGGAGGGAGAGAGGGCCGGCTGTGTGAGACCAGGCAGAAAACAGCCCCCACGACCCGCTTTCCTCTGCCAACCCTGCGGCACACCAGACCCGCACTGCCTGAGGCCACGAGCTCCTCACCTTGTCCCTCAGGGTTCCCTGCCCGCTGCTGCCGCGCGTGCCGTTTCTGTGCAAAGTTTTGTAGCATAACTTCCTCCTCTGACATCTCCTCCTCCTCCGACATCTCCTCCTTGCTCTCCACAGCACCAGGCACTGCAACGTCTTCAAGACCCTCCTGCACCTCAGGCTCCTTGGCTGGGCCGCTGGGCTTGCCCAGCATCCAGGGATTAGCTCCACTGGCACCCACAGGGATGGTGGGGACGGTCACCGACGTGAGGTCCTCCTCAGGCACATCACTTGGCTCCTCCTCAGGCAACTCCACCCGCACCTTCTGCGTCAACTCCTTGTTCCTGGCCAGCTGCTCCTGCATGGCCTTGCGGGCCTGGAAGGGGATTGAGATGTTTCTAACGCTGGGCAGAAATGACATGCCCACCTTCCTTACCCCAACTCGGCTGTATTCCCCCATCCCCAGCCTGCATCAGAGACGTCACTGTGGCCTTTCAATATATAAAGGGGGCTTCTAAGAAAGATGGAGAGATACTTTATACCAAGGCCTGTAGTGACAGGACAAGGGACAACGGTTTTAAACTGAATGAGGGCAGGTTTAGGTTGGATATAAATAAGAAATCTTTTACGACGAGTGTGGTGAGCCCCTGGGGCAGGTTGCCCCGAGAAGCTGTGGCTGCCCCATCCCTGGAAGTGTTCAAGGCCAGGTTGGATGGGGCTTGGAACAACCTGGTCTAGTGAAAGATGTCCCTGCCCATAGCAGGAGGGTTGGACTAGATGGTCTTTGAAGGTCCCTTCCCACCCAAACCCATCTGTGATTCTGTGATCTCACCTCCAGGTCATACTTAGCCATAATGGCCCTGGAACGGGCCCATTTTCCCTTGTTCTGATGCTTAAGGCTCATCCGCTCCTGGGGGAAGAGGAAGAGAGAAGCATCAGAAAGAATATCCTCGTGAGAGGGGACTTCCCACGGGGTGGAGGAGAAGCGCAGAAGCAGCACCTGCATCCTGAGCTGCTCCAGCTCCTCCAGCCTTGCCAAGGCGGCCTCAGGGTCTGACTTATGCAGCAGCTCAAACTCCTTTAAGGCTTTGCGTCTCTTGCTTTTTTTCAGCACGCGATGGTACCTGCGGCACAAGGGCAGAGAGCCAGGGAGTGAGATCTCATGGGGCTGGGGAGGCCGTTAGGAACACAGCGCTGTTTTGGGCAGGAGGAGGACCAATACATTGCAGATCCCGGGGAAGAAGGGGGTTGCTCTGCCTTTCTCCCCATTTTGGCCAAACCCACACAGTAGACAGGGTCGGCTCCAGCGCTGAGGCCAGGACCCAGCCCTCTCCCACCGCCCAAGCCCAGCAATGGCACAGCCTTACTTCTTGCTCTTGATCCTCTTCTCTCGCCGAGCCTTGGCTTCGTAGTAGGACTGCACAGCCCGAGCCTTCTGCAGCTCTGCCCGCCGCTGCCGGGCCTGCCAGGGAGCGCAGAGTGAGGGAAAGCGCCAAGAAAAGGCATCCAGAGTCAGGGCACGGCACGAGGGCAAAGCACTCACCTCCTCCAAGCTCATTGCCTGCAGTGAGGCTGTCTCCTCTGGTGTCAGGAGTGGGTCTGTGATGGGCTGCTTCGTCTTGTGGAGCAGTCCAAAGATCTCCTGCTCCAGTGGAGTTCGGGCCTGTTGGGACAGAATAGAAACAGCAACAGCACAATGAGAAGACAAGAACTGCAAGAGCCAACGTCCCCATCCTTCCTGGTGCCTCTGATGGGAGGTCCACGGAATGGCTCAGAGAAGCGTTCCCCTCTCCTCCTGGGCGTTGGAGTCACAGCCCTGCTCACGGGTCCCACGCATAGCCCGCGGCTCTCTGCGAGCCTGCCTAGGCGCCCTCCCAGCAATCGTGCCAGGTTAGGGCAGGCAGAATTCCTCCCAGGGTAGAGAAACAGGCTCGCAGTTGACAGGCAGTGCTGACCCGGTAGCACTGGACAACAAGCATGCAGCAGAAGTTCCAGACCACGCAACACCACGTCTCACTGAAATGGAAAGGGACCTTCGGGCAGATCAAGGTGAGTGCCGGGTATATCAGGAGCTCGGCAGGGGCTGCCTCACACCTGAGTGTCTGGACAGCTGGGAGAGCTCTCGGGGTGACAGTGACTCTCCTGCCAGCGGCATAACCCCCACCAGAACTCACATTCAAAACCAAAAGCAAGTTTCTTTCATAAGGAAGACTTTGAGATGAGCAGGCTTTGGCAAACCAACCCCGCTCTCTGCCTCAGCACAAGTGGCCGAGGGCACCTGGCTCAGGTGGGAAACAGCGGTCTCAGCCTGTGTGTTGAGAGCTGAAAGGCTAAAAAGAGGAGACGGGACAGAGCAGGCACCAACCCCTCTGCTCATGCCTTACCCGGCCTCTTCCAGAGAGCGTTTACACATCTGCTATGTCTGAGGAACACAGAAGACTTCCCTTTCAATCTTTCTGAGCTCAGCGGGCACCTGCTCAGAGCCTCCACTACAGGCTGGGCCATCCTCACGCCCACCTCGCTCCTCCCAGCGCAGCCAGGAGACGCTGAGCTGCCCCAACCAAACCCTGGGAGTTGCGTGACATGTGACAGCACCCACCTTCCACGCTGAAGCCACTTGCTCCAGGGGGACGACCGTAGCAATCTCCTGCTTCAGAGGGAAAACCAACTGCTCTGCCCGTCGGTTCTGCAAAACTACCTGCTGCCATTTTCCCACGTCTTTAGAGGTCCCGACGTAGGCAGCTTCCCTCACAACCTGCAGGCAAGGGCGAGAAGGGAAAAGGATCAGCAGAGAAAGGCTGATGTGAAGAACAAAAAAAAAGCCAGTCTGCATCAGAGAGGAGTAGAGGTGCACACAGGGGCTCAGCTTTACTGCCCCATAAAGTCAGAACTTGCCCCTCTGCTGCCTGCACAGGTCCACTCACCCGCTTTGCCTCCTCTTTGCTGAGTGGCAGCTCCACTGCCTTTTTCTGCTTCACTCTGGTCAGCTCTTTCTTCACTCTGCTCAGGGCGGATTTGGGATGGATGGGCTTCAGGAGCTCAGACAGAACCAGCTTCTCCCCAGCACCTACACAAGGTCCCGCATGTCAACAGAGGCGCAGCATTGCCAAGTCAAGGGGCCGCAGCTGCATTCAGCCCAAAGATCAGGGCAGACAGCAAATCCCAAGCTGTTAGTGGGCAGCGCTGTCCCAGTCAGACAGCAGGAGCTCTGCCCAGCCTCCCGGGGGTCTCACCTTTGCAGCTGACATTGAACTCAGACACCTGTACGCTTGCCTCCGTACGCTCTGCCAGCTTCCGCCTGTGAGAAGAGAAAGGCCACCAGGATGATCAAAGGATGGGGAAGCCTGCTGTAAGAGGAAAGGCTGAGAGAACTGGGTTTGTGCAGCCTTGAGAAAAGAAGGCTCAGGGGAGACCTGATCACCGTGTTCCAGTATTTAAAGGGTGGCTACAAAGACAGAAACTCCCTTTTTACAAGGAGTCACATGGAAAAGATGAGGGGTGACAGGTACAAGTTACTCTCGGGGAGATTCTGATGGGACACAAGAGGGAAGTTTTTCATGCTGAGCACAATCAGCCTTTGGAATCATCTCGCCAGGGAAGTGGTGGATTGCCCAACACTGGACACTTTTACGATTCAGCTGTGCAGCGTGCTGGGCCATCTTATCTCGACTGTGCTTTTGCCGAGAAAGACTGGACCAGACGATCCCTGAGGTCCCCTCCAACCTGGGATTCTATGAAAAGAAAATAAACTGAAAGGCTCCTAACGTGCCCCCACGTGCTTCTCCTCCAACCTGCTGCTACGGCAGAGGCATAAGAGCCGGTGCCAATGGGAAAGGGAACGGAGCGCCCTCTCCCCTGCCCCCTTTCAAAGCGCTCCTGTGCAGCCCAACGGGGGAAACGAGGAGGGGACGCAACGTGGCTGCCACAAGAACCCCTCAGACACCCCCCACTCACCGCCTCCGTCCGGAGAGGGAGCTGACCGCCTCCAGGAGCTGTCGGTGCCGCCTCTCGCCATCCTCTTGCCCCTGGAAACACAGCAAACGCGGTTACGGAGCCCGGCCCAGGCGGGGTCCTGGCAGAGCAGCCCCCTTTCCGAGCAGGCCTGCACCCCCGGTGCCGCGGCCTGCACCCCCGGCCAAGCCAGGCCGCCCTCCCTACGGCCTCCCCGGGCGGGGGGGTAGCACCCGGAGCACCCCATGGAGCGGCGGGG